AGTACAATCTAGATACGAATGGAACAAAAAAGAATGGGGAATTAATTGCCAAGATACAACATTAGATAAAATATTATTAGGACCAGAGAAGAAACAAATAAAGAATTTGTATAATTATTTACTAGATTATAAAATGTATGAGGAGCAAGTTAAAGAATCAATGTTAACCTGGCTAGAAATTTCAGCCATAACATAAATTTGGACCAATGGCAGCAAATTTGGGACCGGACTAAAAAGATTACGTTAGCCACACTCTACAAAGAAAACCTGTTTAAGATGTTTTACAGATGGCATCTCCTGCCAGGTTAGCCAAAACATATAGCTCTCAACCATTTACATGCTGGAAATGGGGTACCTATTATCATATGTAGTGGAAGTGCAAGAAAATACAAGAGTTCTGGCACAAAATATGGCAATGGCTAGAAGAAATGTTGGATTTAAAAATAAATTATACACCGGAAATGTTTTTTGGGGGGGAATAATAAATTATGATTTTTAAAAAGCAGATATTTACTTAATCATTCATGTCATTACAGCTGCAAGATTACTAATCGCCCAAACATGGAAGTTAAAAGAAATATCAAATGACAAAGCAATAATAGAAAAGATTTTCCAATGCGCTGAGCTAGATAGTATGACATTAGAATTTAAAGAGCAAGACATTTCAGAATACTATGCGGTATGGGAAAATTTCTATGTACGAAGGGATATGAGAGGAAGTATAAAAAATACAAACTAGAAATGTAAGAAGAGTTTGTATTATAACATAATGTCTAGGATAAAAATTGATATAAAGATTAAATGTAAATATGTACATAACTTTTATATATATTGTTTATACTGTTTGGTGATATTTTGCTTATATAACAATGTAAAGATTGATATATATCTCAAAAAGATCACCACGTTCAATGTTTTAAAGTTTAATTTCAATAAAAAAATTAAAATTTATATAAAAACGTTTTTATTATAACATCATAACAGTTGAGGGTCATGCAATTTTAGTAGAATAAAAACTGAATAAATAAATGATACATCTGTGTTATGTATTCACAAAATAATGTATGTGTTTACCTTCCAAGAGGCCGTATTTCTCAAAAAGGGCAGAGTCAAGAAACTCCAAGTTAAATTAAATACTACTTAAAATTATTTGCCTATAAACAAAGCATGCCCTTTACAACATTCCTTTCTGCAACCATTCTCTTATATGCAATGCTTCTTCATACCCCAAAACTCGTTATACAAACTATGCATTTCCCACTTATTCCTTTATTCAAGCAGAAACAGCAAAATAATTTCAAAAGGATGCGTTGGGGGAAAAAGGAAGTATGACTATCAGGAAAAGAAAGAGGTGACCAAAACTGCAGGCAGATAAGGTCAGGAGAGAAAAAAATAACTAGGCAAGGAAGGGAAAAAACAAACAAAACTCCCTTTCGATATATATAAAAAAATTAAATTTCCAAGCAGTGGCTAATTGAACTTGGCAGCTATTTATATCCTGCTAATTCTTTGTTTTCAACTGTTTCTTTTCTTATTGGTGCATCTGCCAATTATTTGACATAAAAAATCACGACAAATAAAATTGTAAAACTAAATGTATAACTGTACTGTTAAAGTCTTCGTTATCCTGTAGTACCACAACAGTGATTTCATATGACATTGTTCATTCAAAACAGATAGATTTATATAGTACCACGATTACTAGCTTTATTCTCTGTGAATTTATATAATTTCCTGGTTTAAAAAAAATCTCAGTAGGTGGTAATCACTACATTTTATGGTAATAACTTGGTTAATTTAATTGTCCTACAATACAAAAGTAATTGGAAATTATCAGCCTTCATATAACTTATAAAGGCTTTGCTACATATAGTATGTCAGTTTGTTGTGTGTGTATGTAATTATTTATATATACATACTTTAAAGTTACTTCTAAGGAGCACTACTTTGAAGCACTACTCCTTGTTGAAAGTTAATAATTATACAGTCCTAAAGGAATCTGAAACAAACACACAAATAGTACACCCATAACGGAAACCTTCAATTGCCACGGTCTGTTATTTAGTAAAATGTTATCATTATGTCTATAACAGTATCAAAGCAATGTCAGTGATACTTAAGGTAAATAATATGAATGTCTCAGAGACTGTGGTTAAATTAAGGGCAGTCATTAGAATTACACACACATCTGGAATGAAGCTAGACTTATTTATTTTTATATAGTAAGGATTATTACAATTTTGTCTAGACAATAGACAAAGATTTCGGTCACAAACAGTTAAGGACAATTTTCCTAATCATATGTGGGCAACAACCCATGTCTTCCTCACATCCTTTCATTTGGCAGGATATGTCATAAGGAATAATGAAACTATCCTAATCTTCTACATGATCAAGAGAAGCATTATTTCAGGAATGAGGGAGAAATTATGGCAACTGTTTAGACTGAGTCTCCCACACAGACTGTTCTTAAACCTCCTTTATGGTGCTACCCACTATCCAACAAACTAATTTCATTTTATAATTTATTTAAATTGCCTGATTCTTTTTCTAAGTGTTTGCATTGTTTACAAAACAACAGAAATGATTTAGGCACAGTATTACAATAAATATGCAGATGAACTATGAGCACAATATAGATTTTTTTCCCTAAAACATTACAATTAGCCTAAAAAAATAATTGTTGGGATAACTGCACTTACATAAGTCAGCAGCATCACTATGTGTATCAGACAGTATATAAATTGAGAGCCAAAATTTAGCTTGAGTTCTGGGATAGTTTATATGGCACCCAGGTCTTCAAATGATTATTGGTAAAGTTTTATATTCTTCCCTAAACTATTTACACTGCTTTGTTCTTGCAGTTCCTTGTCACACTCCTCCACCACCACCACCATACACATCTCTGACTCTTCAGCAAACCATAATTCACACATGAAAAGAGGGAGGAGCAGGATATGGGCAGCAGAGAGAAGTGTTATCAATCAACCTGAAAGAACCTCTGAGAGTTGCCCACCTTATACAGCCAATTAAATGCTAGTTAATTCTTAACTGAAAGTTCAGTAAGGAATAGTATATTTTAAGCTCCACTGCTTTTATCTGCCCAAAAGAAACTGGGAGGAGAGCAAGAAAAGGCAAACACAGCTGATTGTGTGCATTTTGTATTGGGAGCTGATGAATGCAGACATGAGTGACTGTTGCAGCCCTAGAGGTTATCCCACTGACAAGCAACCTAGCTCAATTCTAGAATTCAATACAATTCTATTTCTTTTTCATCTTTCTCTATTTCTACTTCTATATCTCTCTCTGTATTTTAGGAGCATGTAACTGGGCATGTTTCCTCCTTACTTCTTTCCTAGAATTGTTTAAAATAAATCAAAGAAACACCTGAATCTCCTTTCTTCTCTTTCTCAAAAAAGGGGGGGATTTTCCTGCCATTCACAAACTGGCAATCCAGCCCATAAGTTCAGTAACACTGTGTCCAAGTCTAACCTTATTTTCTAGCAAGAAAGCTTTTATAAGAAAAGAAGCTGAACAGCAAATGAGATATTCAGGATAGGTAGGAAGGGATAGGAAACAGTCCAGATTAGTTTTGCTTTAGCCATGTTGGTCCTCTTTCTAAGGTTCTTGGATTCACTGGTTGGTTCTATCCTTTATAGTACATCAGCTTCTAGATAACAAATGTATACATACTTTTCAAAATAGAGTCAAGATAACCTTTCCTCAGATTATGTTCTGTCTGAATTCAATAACCAACTGTCTATACTATATCCAAGAAGAATCAATATGGTTATAAAAGCTAGGATATTTGTACAGTCATGGACCATTTACCGAGAGAGAAAGTCTCAGGAGAATGCTAATGGACAAAAATATTAACATCCTTTTAAGAAAGATTTCTACTACAACTAGTATTTAGCCAGTATTTTTCTTTTTTCAAACTCGGAGCCAGTATAATGTAGCAATTGAAGTAACCCAACTAGGAGTGGGAAACACACACGCTGGTCATTAGGCATGGAAACCAGCTGGCTGTCTAGGTTAAGAGGAAGTCACTTCCTCTCAGCCTAAACAGTCAAATATCTGAATGCTCTATCATGCACTGATGGATTCCCTGTAAGAAACTGAGACATAGGCACAGTACAAGGCAACCCTATAACTAAGCCAACCCTATAACTAAGTGGGATAAATGCTATGAGACTTTGTTGTTTTTGAAATGGGACTGTACTTTATACAATTAAATATGTCAATAAGAAAGTTAACAGTAGACGGATGAAAGGAAAAGCAGAGTTTTTTAAAAAAAAAATCAATTTCAATCACTGTGAGCAAATTTTGCTCCAAAAAAGGCAAAATCTTCAATACAATTTCACTACAATGATTAAATGCATGTTATTTTTCTGACAAATAAGCCGTTAATTTTAATGGTTCCTTTGTTAAAAATGGCAGTTCTTCCAATCAACTGTTTGTTTTACAAAAGAATAAATTATCTCAAATCCAATTCAAAGTAGATTTGCATAAAAATCTGGGAGGAAAGAAGTTATAAGATGTGCTAATCTTGCAGAAGAAACACTTTTCATGAAACTTCAGGTAATGATCTACATTAGACTCAAAAGGGATAAAAGGAAGCATACTGACCAATAATTAAGTAACTCATCACTATTTTAAAGCCAGAGCAAACTTTTTGGGGCGAAATAATCATTTAACATCAAATGATTATATTTTTCAGCCATAAAAGCACTGCAGCCAATGAAACCAGTACAGAACACATTTGGCACAATTTACATTGGACTTATTGTAGTAGAAGCCCATCAATATCACTTCACCCAAGAACACCAAAGGAAGCAAGTTAGTATTTCGTCTTCCATACTATTCTTAGCACCATGCATTTTTATAAAGCTTTCCAAATTAGACCAAAGAATAAAAATTTTCTCAATGGCTATATTTTTAGTAAGTCACAAATAGCAAAGCTGAGCAAAATTGCTATTAATTGCTATATATTCCCTGACCTGGTATATTCTAAATGGGATGTAGCGAAATCCATTATCTTCTGCAGAATATTCCATGAGTTTCCGGTTTATAGCCCAAAACTGTTCAAATTTGTCTGAAAATAAACAGCAATTACTAGGGTTAACAAAAACAACCACAAAACTGCAAATACCTAATACATAAGAAACACAGGGAAATAGATATAAACAACTTGACTACACTGTTATAGTTTTATTTATTTCACATTACATCCATATTCCTGTGAATGGAAGGGTCAGATTGTATTTGTTAGGATGAATTATTTCTAAGCAATCAAATACTGGGTATTAAAGCTTGTTAAGGCCGGTTGGAAAAAGAGACTTTTTCACAAATAAATATAATATGGTGGTCCTAGTCTGTTGCTGCAGATAAAATATTTTAATATTTTAAACACACTTCAAAATAATTTTTAAACACACTTCAAAATAAATTGTTGGGATCTCTTTAACTGAGTAATTAGTTAATGTGCCACATTTTGTGATACCTTATTGGCATATTTGAATTAAAATGTAATTTTTTTTTCTATTTGAATAGGAAAGTGAGAAATTAAAAAAAGAAAGTTTGGGAGTGCAAAATTGCCTCAATTTCCCAATTCACAATCTGCTTGAAGGTCACTCAGAGCTCCGGGAAGTTTGATGGAGGGGAAGACAAGACGGTTATCCCAATCTTTGTCTCCCCAGTGTAGCTAAGATTTAAAGATTAGACCTCATGAGTATTAGCCTCCTAACTGTGTGATGCTCTCATTTAAAACTTTAGCTAATGTTATTTTACTATCATTCTGGCTTCATATTTTTCCAGGCATTTTAAAGTTTTATAATTGAAATTAAAAACATCAGGTGTAAATAAGTGTCTTTAAACAGGAATAAAGTGGAAGAACTATAGAGGAAAAAGCTGTGTTGGGTAGTGTGGAATAGTGTTTTTATTTGTCTCTGACGGTTACATTCCCCTGCAAGAATAATTTCCAGTAATAATATTTTTGGTATGCAAAACTTATCGCAGGAAACAAAATGAAGAGTGAAGCAACAACTGGAGCTAAGTCTCCATCTCATCACCCTTCTGCACCAAAATGTTATGGCTTTGACATACATTTACATTTTTAAAAGTTTAAATACCAAGCACTACATATCTGGTGCTGATCTTTCTACCGATATAGAACCCAATTTGTTATAAATGAAAAAGATTTGATAATAGTGCCAGTTCAATTTATTGTTATCTTCTCATCGGTTGAATGAGAAGAAATGTAATGCAACAAATTATTTCCACTCAGAAATAATTTCCAGAGAATTTATTGCCATGGAAATATAAAAATAATTGAAACACTGTGTTATTATATACGCAGTTTGCTCAAGATGTATTTTCTAAATAAATAAAAACTCAAACAGGTAGTTTCAACAAAAGGAAATATATAACACAAGATTTAGAATAAGTAGATGTAGTAGGTATTTCTATTATCAAGGGTGAAACTTTCTCTATATTACTCTAATCCTGTTGTTTTTAATGTCATCCACATTTCACTTTAACAGAACAGTAAATTAACAAAGTGATTATCATGAAGTGCTATTTCACTCTTTCTTACGTCAGACTTTGTTATGTAAACTTCCACTACTTACATGAATTTCTTTACAAATTGAGGAAAATGGTAAAATAAAAAGGAATTTTAGAGGCTTCATTGTGTCAAGTAAAGAGTTACACCAGTACACTATAAGTAGAAAGACAAATGCACAATGTTTCATAGAAAAAGCAACTTGCAGATGTATCATTAACTATCAGGCAGTTGTAACAACTGCTACTTTCTTTTCTTTTTTGTGGTCATGAATACTGTTTCACAGAGAAGTTTAACATCATCTCATATATAATGAAAGCCATACTGAAAGATGCAGCATGTATTTTAAAAAGTTATCTTGGTTTCATAGGTTTTTTCTTATTTCTCTTTTACTAATGGCTCAAACACAAAATTAGCCTTTGAAAGTTTTCAAAATATTATCTGTTGAGTTCTACAGGTGCAGTTTCCAGTGACACACACTGAAACCTATACAACCAACATTTCTGGTCAACTTCTTATCTTGGATCACCACAAAGTTCACCCAATCAACACAAGCAACATGTCTGCTCCAAATCTTGAATATCAAAACTGATTAAACAATCCTAAGCAGTTCAACTCACTTTTTGATTATTAATATTTTCAAGTGTCCTCTTTCCATACGTTTCAAATATTAAGCTAAGGGACGCTGACTATTCTAATTTTTGCTGAGATGAAAATAAATTAAATAATGTGTGGTTAGATAGTCTTATATAAGAGTTTTATATGAACCAGCACCTAGATCAAGGGTCTTCAAACCTGGCAAGTTTAAGAGTTGTAGACTTCAACTCTCAGAATTTCTAAGCTAACATGACTGGAGAAGGAATTCTGCGAGTTGAAGACCACAAGTCTTAAAGCTGTCAAGTTTGAAGAGCCCTGACCTAGATCATTATCAAAAGAATGGAACTATTGACTGATAAGGTCTCTCTCCTTGTCCTGCCTTTACGGTTCCCTATCCTGGTGTGACTTATTGCTGCTCCAATCGATCAGTACCCTCAGTTATTCTTATTAATGCCAGCAGCCCAACACCAAGTTACTGCAGATCAGTAAGAGATGCGGTGTTCAGATCAATGTTGGGCATGATCTACCACTTCTTAATCAAAAGTTGACAAAGGATAGCAATGGTTAACCTGTGTGTTATAAAATGATCTTAACAAACAAGATTGAATTATGTCCAAATAACTTAAGACCTTGATGACAAAATATATACAGTTCTTTCATTCCAATTGCTTGAGTTTCAGAAGTACAAGTAGAAACTGGAAATGACTTACAACAGAGGTCAAACTTGACTCCTTTAAGACTTGTGGACTTCAGTTCCCAGAATTCCTCCTCCAGTCACGTTAGCCCAGGAATTCTGGGAGTTGAAGTCCACAAGTCTTAAACTTGCCAAGTTTGAAGAGCCTTGATTTACAATATTACTCAGCCCTAGGTTTTTTTCAAGTGATTGAATATACATACTTCACTTAAAAGTGGCTCTTACCATTCTGTAACCCCATCCAAAGTTGCTTATGATCCTTTTTTTGCATTTCATTGATTACTTGACTCTTATGCTTTAAGGCATCTGCTTCTTTTATACAAGCCATGAAATGAGCTTCAATTACTTCCTTAGAGGAGCAATGCAGAAGATCTTTTTCTGGAAAGTTCTAGAAATATAAAATTGTAATCAAATTCAAAATATACTCAAAAGTACTTTAGAGCAGGGGTCTCCAACCTTGACAACTTTAAGACCTGTGGACTTCAACTCCCAGAACAGTTGAACAGTTTTCAACTGATCAGTTTTTCAGTTCTGAAGAATTGAATGAAGAAACTTCCTGGATGAGAAGTGAAATATTTTCAAAGAAAAAAAACCAAGACAGTTCAGTTGCCTTTTGGAAAAAGCAGTTTTGGGACAACCATGACCTGGATGATTGAGTATCTCCATAGACATTTTATTGTCTGACAAGCAAAGCCAATGGGGAAGCCAGATTCACTTAACAACTATGCTACCGACTTAACAACTGCAGTGATTCACTTAACAACTGTGGCAGGAAATATTGTAACATGGGGCGAAACCTATTTAACAATTGTCTTGTTTGTAAATGAAAATTTTAGGCAAATTTGTGGTCATAAGTCGAGGACTGCCTGTATTAGGAAAAATTGGCAATATATCAAGACATAATATGATAGAGAAATGTACTTTACTAGGTTTACAATTTAGCAATAAATACACTAACTCATAGCAACTAGTTTCCAACAAGGAAGAATGATTAATGATCTATGCATTCAATAGTGAGCCAACTTTTAGTATTGAAGTCAATATGCAGGACTGTGGCTTATTCGAGAAAGCCATGAATTGCTCATAGTATATTAACTACATGTATCTATATGTAAGATCCCTGGTGATGCAGTGGTTAGAATGGAGCAAGCTAACTCTGCCCACAGCCTAGAGTTTAATCCTGATGGGCTCAAGGTTGATTCAGTCTTCCATCCTTCCAAGGTGGGTAAAATGACAACTCAGATTGTTGGGGGCAATATGCTGACATTGTAAATGGCTCAGAGAATGCTGTAAACAAGGGGTCCCTAACCTCCAAGTCACAGCCTGCTGGGAACCAGGCCACACAAGCATTGGGTGAGCACGCAAAACTCTATTTGTGCAAGCAGCAGGTGCACATGCACCAACTTGTGCAAAACCATTCCCTCTCTCACCCACCATTGCCACCCCCACCAGTCTACAGAGCCAGAAAGGTTGGGGACCACTGCTACAAATCACTATGGAGTGGTATGTAAATCTAAGTGCTATTGCTTCTATTGCTATTGCTATTATGAAAGTGGGTAGGCAACTTTTAATAAAAATTTCAATTTTTCTTCCATTCTTTTCAGCCCACCCCCAATGCTATTACAACTACATTTTTTAAACTGATAGTGAGAATGGAGAGTATTAAAACATATTACTCTGAAAACAAATAATAATAATAATATATAAATTCTTTACTTGTTATCAGTTGATATTTACCATTTCCTTTCCATTCCAGAAATTAAAGCATAAATCCTACTTCTAATACATCTTTTTGAAGTATATATTAAAGAGATATATTGCTTATATACCTTAAAATGTACTGTGATATTCCATGGAAGGGCTGCATTTGAAGCATGAAGATCAAATAGTAAACCAATGGGATAGTGCCTAAAAAGCAGAGAGCATGGTAATAGTAACAATCTCCATTGCAAGAACTGTAAAAGAACATAGTAACTTATTTAGTAGTGCCTACAGCCTCTGAAAATGATAAACAAATCAAACTTAGTGCATTCTTTTTATTTATTTAAAAAAATCCTCCTAAATTCTGAAAAGATGAATGCTTACACTCCATTTCCTTTGTAATTAGGTCATCAAATTCCTCAAACCCTGCAAAAATGTGTAATCTCATGTTAAATAGATTAATAGTATAACGCCTTCCATAAAGTTTTAAAACAAATAGCCAGCCATGTATATCAGCTATTTAATGTTCCTTATAGTCTAGTATATAATCATTGTGCAGAGAATGGAGTCATACTTTTGGAAATCAGTTACAGAAAAAAGATCAAATAACATCCTAGTTACACCAAATACTTTCACAATGGTCCAAAGATCAAATGCTCACATAACTAGCATGATGGCTGCTGCCAGTGGTAGTTACCCTAATGATTCTGACAAAACAATTCTAACCAGGTCATTAACCAAATCATTTTAGCAATAAATGCTGAATTGTCTTCTAGCAGAGTTTTGGGGAATTGGAGGTTTCTGCTCTGATTTTCAACTGTTTATTATTTGCAAACGTGGAATTGTGTTTCATTTTTTTATGGTTTAGGACAATAATCCGGAATCAGAAAACATGATTTAAATTTACTGGTTTCCTAAACTCATTTTTCTCTGATTTGAGTCTCTCCGGTGATTTTGATTTACGCTATATTTAACCATCAGCCCTGCTAACTAGTTCTGATAATGGCTGATAAACTCCTGACAGGATTCAGATTTAGAAAGTATACCTTAGTTTTGCATTTAAAGTTAACCACTTTTTATCCAAATTGGTCATCATGAAAAAGTATGCTATCTGAAAAATGAAAAGAAGAATTTGCATGCATTTCTCTGGTACACCAGAAATTCTATATTTACGCATACTTTGACATTCCTGGTTTGATCCTTTTAATAAACAAAAAGTTTGAGCAGAAAGGAAAGGCCATCTACATCCTCACAATATAGCCTACTTTTTGTTGCTTAGTTGGCAATATTTTTTTTTGCTTAAATCAGATAGTGACATCACTGCTACAGAAAGATAGGCATATTAATAAGCTGCTTAGTAACCACACCTCCTCTTCCATTTCCAATGAGAAATATACTAATATTGTAGGTGTAACAGAATTAAGCTGAATGATAGAGAGAATATGAATTTGACAGATATCTCCAGATAAAAATATAATAATTTGACATACAATATTCATGAATACGCTTCAATATATTTTAAATAAGAATTGAGGTAATACCTTTTTCATATTATTTTAGAGGAAATCTTTGAGGAAATAGCATAAGAGCAAAAGCAGCTACAGCTGTATACATATCACTCATCTTCTAAAGTAGTTTTGTCTAGGATACATTAATAATACCCCACAAACAAAGGTCTATCCATATCACACTAAGAAAAGCACTCACTACTCACTGTTTTACCTTGAAAATTCTTTTTTAATGCTTGTCTTGTGTGAAGAAAATGTTTGTCGAGATACAGCATGAACTGCATAGCTACACTATGTTACTAAGAAATCTCAAGGGTTTATGTCGAGAGTCTGCTACTAATAGCAGCATAGTAAAATATCCAAGTTCCATAATTTTATAGGTAAACTACCATCAGTGCTACAGTTCTGGACCAGATGTTGATTGGGGAAAATAACTACTTCTTTATTTTACAACACCATTTTGTCAGAGACAAATTCTTTACTTAGGTCATTTTGCTTTTCTGTAAAGCAAAAGTGGAATAAATTTGTGTCTTATTAGGCTTCTATCAATCACGTTAAAAAGTGGGGGGCAGTTCTAGCTAGCAGATTGGCTAAAATCCTGCAAGTATAGGAAAATTTGTAACAGCTTTATAGAAGAAGAGAGCACAGGTTAAGAAAAGTAGAGAGAAGATTTTGAGCTCTCTATATAGGCAAAGTAAATCAAATGGTTCTTCTAAACTAATCTTCAATTCCAAAAATTCATGTTTGTCTTTTAGATTTTTGAGAAAGTCATCAAATAAAAACCTCCAACCCATGTCTAACTTCATGTTCTCTAAATTTTACTGGTTTTATTGGTGTCAAACTTCAAAGTTGATGCAGACAAAAACTGAAAGCAATATTTAAAACAATAAAGCAGGCAGATGGATTCTCTAAAGCTGCAAGATACATTATTAGACATAATATTTGCCACAGAAACCCTATTATTACTTAAAAATCTTAATTCTTAGCAAAAAATGCCATGTAAGAGTACAATGCTGGCATGTGTAAAAACCCTCTCCAAAAATAAATACATTTTTGTACTATAAGACAATACCTTTGTAATATACAACGAAACTTTTACTTTACAGTGATGATACAGTTTCTCAGGTCATATATTTTTATAGCTGTAAACTGTAACTATATGGTAGCAATATTTTTCTACTAACTTTCAGGGAATTTTGAAGTTCTTAAAGCCCTCTGTGAAACATGAGACTAAAAACTTTTTATAACGGAATACCAATAATTTTAAGACAGAATACCAATAATCAGAATGGGAATGCATCATGTTTTTTTAAAAAGTGAAATTGTATCATTCACCACAAGGGAATCTACTATAACAAGAATATGCACCTAACAGACACTGAAGTCAAGAGTGATATGAAAGACACTGTTTTCAACAACAAAATGGCCAAGAGCTAGATCTAGATCTACATATCCTCAAAACTATATTGTCATTAAAACTTGCATGTATCCATAAATGTTTGTTACCAATAACTAAATATTAATATTAATAGAAGAAACATAAGATTAGCATAACAAAGCACAAGCTAGAATTTCATTCTAATTTGGAAATACGATATTCATTATGAAGCATATGCATTATTTAATAACTTCAGCCTAATAAAATACGTCATACTTTTTACTTGCTTAATTTCCTGTACCATAAAAAAAATAAAAAACCATATAAAAAGCTAAACATGGCATATAGGATAGAAGTGTTATATGTAGTTATTTAGCACCATCTGCTGGTTGTGATAAACTAAAGACTGATATCAATACACATATTCAATAGCTAGTTGCAAGAATGTTTCAGTTCCTTGAAGACTAAATCATTTATGCCACGATTGCTACAAAAATATGTTAGACTTCAATATATTGTTGCAACACATTATGTTTTTAAACAATATCAGATATTACTATAGATTAATATAACCAAACTCTTAATATAGATGTTCTAAAATGGTAGGACAGCTCTATCAATCAATTTAAAAAAACACCAGAAAAGAACAAATCATTCAACTGGAATTATTATTATTTCAATATTGTGCAACTGAAGAATTGAAAAAAATGTATTAAAAATAGTTAACGGAATGATCTTCACAGACGAAAGTCTATGTGAAGTAGTATACAGTAGCATAGCCCAAAAAGACTATCTGCAACGACTGAAGAGGTAAAAAGGGAGAAGTAGGTAAGTGGGAATAAACCTATAAAGTAGATATAGAAAGTCTACCACCCTATTAAAATACCAGATTTCTGAGATATTAAAAAAAATCAGAGAAAGTTAAATCACAATTTTTTCCACCTTTAATATAAGCATATCAGCTGTACAATTCAACTGAAAACAAATTGGAAAGTGTAAGTGGAAAGAAATAAAAAGCTTACAATAACATGATTTCACAAGTGGTCACATCCTCTGACATATAAGGATGTGGCTGTGTTCAGAATTCATCAATCACATTCAAACTGATGGTAAATGGTATTCAGTGTACACCTACCATCAATTAATGTGACTCTGATGAAGCCCATTTAAGTTCAACTGTTCTAGTAGGATTTTTCTGACATTTATTCAGTTGTTTTTACAGTAAAGGCCATGACCTTCAAAGAGCTTACAAAGCATCAAAGAAATCTCTTGGTTGGAAGGTATCAGTCGGAGAAAGGGGCAAAATGTTTCCAAGATATCGTATATACATTGGAACACAGTGAAGAAAGTCATCAACAAGTGGGAAAAATATGGCACCCAACTGTGACATTACCAAGAACCGGATGTCCATCTAAAACTGATGAAAAAAACAAGAAGAAAACTGGATTGAGAAGCTGCATAGAGGCCTTCAGCAACATTAACAAAGCTGCAGGAATTTCTGGGGTAGGATGGCAAGGCAGTAGCCTTTTTTTACAACAAAAAACATCCAGGTCTGGCTATGTTTTGCAAAAACCTACATCAAGTCTGACAAAAGCAAGTGGGAAAATTGTCTTATGATCTGATGACACCAACATTTTGACCATAATTCCAAAAAGTTTGTTTTGCGCAAAATAGCACTGAGCATTACCAAAAGTACATCGTACCCACAGTAAAGCAGGGTAGTGGCAGCATTATGCTTTGGGGCTGCTTTTCTTCAGCTGGAACTGGGGCTTTAGTCAAGGTAGATGGAATTATGAACAGTTCCAATTATCAGTCAATTTTGGCACAAAACCTTCAGGCCTCTGCTAAAATACTGCAGATAAGAGGAATTATCTACATGACAATGGCCAAAAGCATATTATAATTTTCCCCTAAAAGATTTGATGTTTTTCAACTGAGTTGTATAACTTACTGCATATGTTAAAGGTAGAAAAAGATTCTGATTATCTTGGTCTGATTTTTTTACCTCTCAAAAACCTGGCATTTAAAAAGGATGTATAGATTTCTACATCCTCTGTATGTTTGCCAATAGCAGGCTGTCCTCCAATAGTGTTCCCAAGAGCTGCATTGAGTCCTATATGGTTGGCCCTGCCATTCGTAATTCTGAGTAAAGCCCCAGAATACTGAGATAAGAAAGCTGAATCTGCCTCTTTTCGGCATCAACCCAGATTCTAGGAACTATAAATTTCGTACATAACAGCAATTGTAAAGTATTCCTGACCTTAAGCTCTATGGATTTAACACAGAAAGAGTATCAACAGCATATGCTCTCCCTTCATTAATGCATTTGCTATAAAAACAACAAAGTAGCTGTTGAAGAGATGTATCAAAATACTATTTTGATCACTCACCTTTGAAGAAAACCATGCAATTAAATTATTTTATGTAAAGGGTACAATAAGATCAGACATGCGATTTTAACGGTACATCATAAAACTTATATAAAGAATGGGTTTTAAATAATAAATTAAATAATAGTATTCAAAATTGATTTTTTTAAAAAGACATGGAAGTAAAATAAAGGAAAAAAATGAAATTAAAATGAATATAAAATGAGTGCGGAAAAGGCAAGTATACACTTCCTAACAGCATGAGCAGAAGTTTGTATAAAGAAAGATGTGGAAACTGCTCCGAACGGAAGACAAAAAAACCCCAAATTTTTGACAGCCTCTTAGAAGTGTGTAATGTTTGGCTATTAGTAAATACGAACAGGATGCTTATTGACATTATGTGAAATGGGGTGTAAATAAGTAGAACAATGCACATATAAAAATGAGAACTCCAGAAGTGGGTATGAAAGAACAATGCTGTGTAAATTGTGCAGAGAAAAAATATGGCTGCCAAAAGTACAGGCAAGAAGAGCAATTTTAAAATTAAAAGAGGAAGAAAAGTTGGAAAGTGATTTTGATGGAAATATAAAATTGCATGAAAGTAGATGAAAAGCATAGAACTTCTTATGAAATAACTGCCAAATTAATATCCAGGAAGAAACAGAATGGAAACCATAAATGTTGTGAGAATGTTTGAAACTATTAAGATGTACCAGTAGATGCTTTTATTGCATTGTTTATATTACACATAATGGGATTAAATATTTTAGGAAAGCTTGCACTTGTATCCACTCCCTTATTTGCAAAATGTATAATACAATAATTAAGGTGCATGCAAATGTTTTATGTCAGGAAGAGACTATAAGAACATGATTTCTGTTCTGCCCTACCCCTTCCTTGCTAAAATGCTAATTACTTGGCATGTGTATTAATAATTAAGTACCATATTTAAATATGCTTAAAGCTAAACAATTCCAAGCTCTTTTCAAATTCTAATTGAGATTAGCAAAGATTCTTGCTTAATCACAATCATTACTACTCTGTTATGGATATGGTACAGCTATTTATATCTTAGAAAATATGGGTATGCAGTAGCAGAAGAAATACTGATAGGCATTTTCTTCTTTAGTCTGTGCGAGTAATTTACCAACCAGGATTCATATCTAAGGTAGTATAACCAAAATTTGAAACAAGCAAACATTCATTTAACCAGAAATCACCATCAGTACAACAGCTTCTTCAAGCAGATTCCATGTGTGCCAAAATAAAAGAAAGATTGATGCAAATAATCTCATCAATCACTCCTGAATTAAGCAATGGGAGAATAATCTCTGCACGAGACATAACTTTACTGTTACATAACAGATAAATGTTAAAACTTTAAATCCATAAACTATCATTTTATTTAACAGAAAGATTAGCTCATGTCTAGATATATGCAATCTTTTAAAAACATGCCTCATGAAAAGAAATTTTATTTGGCATACCAACTATGTTTAACAAGATTTTTTGTTTGTTTTAGAAAAGTTTGATACAATCTTTTAGTTGATTGTGAAAATGTTAAATGGCTGCCAGCAAATCTGACTTTATAAAGCGTTGGTTGGAAATTTTCACTCCATTTAAGATTGCTGACTTGTAGAAAATATGCATTCAAAAATTTAACTCACCATTTCAAAGGGGTACCTTCATTTTCAAACCATATTTCTCCTATGTCTTCTCGTCTCATAACCTTTTGAAAATGTTTTTTCACTTTGTCAGTTACAAGTGTCAGGTAGCTTATCCTAGGTAAAAGCAGCTGAAAAACCAAGTTTGAAAAATGGATTGTGAACTGATTTCAAACAGAATGTATGGATTTCATTCAAAATTTGTGATTTAAACTAAAATATATACTATAAAATATATATGCATAACATGGGATTACCATAAAAGGAAAGAGATAGATAGAGGAATATTTCCTATTCCACCGTTATAAGATATTGCTAAAACAATAAGTCATTATTGTCTATGGGGATTCTCAGTCATTCAAGTGATGGTTGTCCCAAAGATACTTTTTCAAGAGGCAACTAGACTTCCTTCAGCTCTGAAGAAGCTTCCTGAATAAGAAGCAAAACATCTTCCAAGAAAATCCAGAAAGTCCAGTAGCCTTTTGAAAAAGCAACTTTGGAACAATAAGATATTGTTGTTGCTTCAGCCCACAAATACAAGGCTGAGCATGTTATACTTTACAGGGCAGGAAAAAGAATGCCCTTTTAATTTTACAAAACAGAATAAAATTTCTTCAGATTCCAGTCAAGGAAACATTCATTTCAGTATAATTGTGTGATTTTAAAAAACATACTGCACAATAACACCCTGGAACCACAGAAGTGAGCTTTATTGAGCTTTAGGGGACTGACATTCAAGTAATTAGGTTGAAAACTATGGGCATAAAAGTTAAAGATACAATCCACAATTACTTGCATACTAGTTAACAGATTCAGGCAAACCTTCACAGACAGAATAAAAATTTCATTAAGAAATTCATTACAAAATGTTACAATAATCATGAGTTGTAAGACATCAGTAAAAAATTTTGTTAATTTGCATTTCTTTAATGAACACTTGTAAAATAGAAAATAAATTGTCCCACATCATCATACTGTCATCTCAAAAAAGAAAAGAAAGGACTAAGAGAACAGAATGAAGAGACAAAAAGGAAGTCAATAATTTTATCAGGTCAACTCAAAATTTTCAAAATGGTGTGCATGTGGTTTGGTTTCTCAGAACTTTTCACCAGGCAAGGTAGCAAGTGAACAGTTCTTAGGAAGTCAGAAACCTGAATCAATCTAAAGTCTTACACAGCATGGATTTTGGTTAAATGTAAATTACCAAAGATCCTCTTTTTTTGTTGCCTAACATACTTTATCCTTCTCCAGTTGATGAAGCCCAGTTCATAGAACTTCACAGAGATTGAACAACTGGCCATATGTTTAAACATATATTTTTAAAAATTGAACATATGTTAGAAATGTGGGACAATGTGCCAGATAGAATAGCAGAATAAATCCTGTAACAAAATGAAATTCTATTATCAAGCTTGTTAATAACGCTGATATGAAATATTTATCCAACAATGTTTACTGACATAAAATATTTATCCAACAAAACATGATTTGTTAGGTCAAATATGCAAGACAATTACTAGATTTATACATCCTTAGTTATAGTTTACTGAACCATAAATTACTGAATAATTATATGGATTGATACATCATACTAAGCCAAAACTAAGCCACAATTTTACTTTGTATGATGTGTAAACCCAGGCACAATATTCTTCAACTATAGGTCTTTCATGGAGTGAAAGGCTTACATAGTACGGTTCCGCTTCTCTTTCGGTACTCTCATCTTGATACAACATAAAACAGGTTGGTATTCTTCCAAACCACACATCTCTGAGTACATCTTTGTCATCTGTCATTCTTCCAGGAAGTGCAGAAACACATCTAGGCTAAATTATTCCTTAGATAATCCACTATAAACAAAAAACAAAGACTCAGCTTTTAAACCCACATGAATATCTGAATCATATTACCCCTTTAGTATGGGATTTTTTTTCTTCTTGAATCTTCAAATTATGGTTAGTTGAAAAAAGTATTACTATCTTTACATTGCATAGCATCCTAACCTGTGATGATATACTTTATGAATTGATTACCTATGCTCTGAATTTCTTTAGTTAAAAATAATAAGCTTGTATAATAAACCAAATGTAGTCTAAATATTGTTGTGATGCGATTTGTTCTAACCCATTTTTCTGTTTAAGCAAATGGTAGCTTTGAAGACAAAAAGCTATTTTAGTAGGGGTGCAACTAGAAGGGAAGACAGGAACAACTGCACAGGAAAAATATGTACATGAAAATCAGAACTGATTTGACAATTCTTCTTAAAGCTAGAGAGATATATTTGCTTTAAATAATGAACAGCTTATCAAGTCCATTCTCACTTCTCAGTACACCATCAATTAAATAAAACAAAATGACAGCATGCTTTTACACAAATCTGTAATTGCCTAATATGAGGACTTTATTTACAAAATTTTCTAAAAAAATATATCCTTTTACCAATCTCAGGATAGAAGGCCAAGTCAACTTAAGCTGATCAGAATCCAAGTCCTGGCAGTGAGTTAGCCTTTTTGAGTGGCAATAGTGGCACTAGGGTTGAAGTTGTTTATAAGAGGGGGAAGACATACCAGCAGAATCAACTTAGCCATTTTCTGGATTTTTGACATACCAAGCACAAAGAATTGCCATTTCACACACTCACATACACACACACACACACAAATACTCTTTTGAGAGTGGGCATCAGAATTTTATTTTTAATGTGTCCCAGTGTGTTCAACAGGAAAAAGTGTCAATAAAAGTTTTATTTTCTTATCAAAACTTTTGCCAATCAATCAAGCCGTGGTGGTGCAGTGGCTAGTATGCAGTATTACAGGCTAACTCTGTCCACTGCCAGGAGTTCAACTCTGACTTGCTCAAGATTGACTCAGCTTTCCATCCTTCAGAAGCTGGTAAAATGAGGACCCAGATTGTTGGGACAATATGCTGACTCTCTAAACTGCCTAGAGAGGGCTGGAAAGAACTGTGAAGCCATATATAAGTCTAATTGCTATTGCTATCACTGTTTTAGACTTTTTGGAGGCAGTTACAAGTCATCCAGTGGCACTGTGATTCTGGAAACAGGACAAAGTTTCAACACTTTTCCTTGTTTTGGGGAGAGATTAACAGAGCAACTGAGAACAGAAAGCATCTGAGAAGGAAATAGTTCTTTTCCTCAAGCTCAACTCTCCAATCTTTGCTGAAGTTAATGAAATATACTTCTGAATCTCAGTAGCGCAGGGGTGTCAAACTCATGACCCGCAGGCCAGATGTGTCATGCACTGGCCATGCCCATCCCTGGTTTAGCGAAGGGTGGAAAAGTTGCGATATATCACATGATGACACAGGTTTGACACCCTGCAGCAGCGGGATTCACTGATTAACAGACAGTAAACAAACCTAACTTAAGCAATTTCACACACACACCCCCAACATCTGCATTAGCTTTCTCCAACTCAAGCACTCTCTGGCTGACGAAATGTGGACTTGTACAAGTAGCCCACGACTTACGACAGTTCATTTAGTGACCAAAGTTACAACAGCATTGAAAAAGGTGACTTATGACCTTTGTAGCGTCCCCGTGAACATTTAGATCAATGTTTAGATGCTTGGCAACTGGTTCGCCTTTATGACCATTGCTGTGTGATCACCTTTTGCAACTTTTTGATAAGCAAAGTCAATGGGGAAGCCAGACTCAAGTTAGTAACCAAGTTACTAACTTATCAACTGCAGCTATTAACAACTATGGCAAGAAAGGTCATAAAATAGAGCAAAACTCATATAAACATCTCACTTAACCAAAGAAAGTTTGGGCTGTTGTGTAAGTCGAGGACTGCCTATACTCCAGAGTTTCCAGCCCACAGGAAACTGAAGTGAATGCTGGGAACTTGTCCAAATAGCCTGGAGGATGGCGTTGGATGACTTATATTATGGCAGACAATCAAGCTTACTTAAGACTGGGGGAGAGGCCACCTGGCATTCCCCAACAGTTTGGATCTCATAACCCGGGAACTCACCAAAAAGTCACGTTAGTTGGGATTTATAGGATTTATAAAGTTAGCAACGGTTAATTCACCAGATGTCCAGTGAATACTATTGGAGGAAACGCCATGCAAAGGCTATATAAGCCGCATGCAATCTCTTGAGGCAACAGAGCAGGGAACCTTTTTGGAAACCCACCCCGGTGTTTCCCAAATTAATTCGGGGCGGGGGACGGCTCTTCAGCACGACCTTCTTATGCCGTGGGAAGGGAGCGGGCGCGTATGCAATGCACCTCCTTGCACGATTAAAGCGCCGCCTGCAGCGGCGCCGGGAAAGCCCCGCATAGGAGGAAAGGGGCGCGAGGAAAAGGAAGACCACAACTCTCCGTCTCGCGGAGGGGAAGGGAGGGGGTGGGTGAGAGAGGAGCGAAGGTTGCCCCCCGCCCCCCCCACACACACCGCATCTGCCGTTCGGATGCCCCGAGACCCAACAGAGGGAAGAGGCAACGCAACCGTTACCTGCCAGTCCGTTTCCGTCTCCAGCCGCGCCCCCACCTCTCCGCCCTTCCGCTAGCCACTCTCTCACTCGCACCTCTCTACAACGCGCAAACTCCACTCGCCCCGCCCACCAAAGAAGCCTTCCTTTTAAAGACGCCGAGTCTTTGGGGGGGGGGGGGAGTCACGTGACTCAACTCGAGTCTTCCAAACCTCCCAGACCGGAGAGCTATTGTTTTGGTTTCCTGTTGCAACCCGGAAGTGCTGGATAATCATAGAGACTACAGAAACAGGACGTCCTCGCGAGCTGAGTTCGGCTTTGCTGAAGCTGCCCTCCAGGGGGCAGTATATTCCCCAGATTCATTTTTATTGGTGGCCTGGCAGGTGATTCCAGGGCGCGCATGACAGTCGATGAATTAAGCCTCCCAACCTTTTTTGCAATCAACCATGGGAGCCGGGGGTTGCTGGAAGTTGAAGTTCAGCAAATTTGCAGGCCGTGTAGAGCAGTGTTTCTCAACCCTGGCAGCTTTAAGGTGTGTGGACTTCAACTCCCAGAAATCCCTTTTACTGAGGGGATGTTGGGACTTGAAGTCTGCACATCTTAACGCTGCCCAAAGTTGAGAAACAGTACTGTAGCAGTTTGAATTGCAGTATCCTCTGTAGAACCAGGAAAAATAAAGTGTGCTAATTTGGCTAGAGGGAAATTTTTTAAATCCTGTTAGGGTGATCGCTTGCTATATGATCAAAGAAAATAACAAAGCAATTTATTAGGAAGGTGAATGGGGCTATTCATTGAAATGCTTTATTACCTCCAGGAGGCTTACCCTGTTTAAAATGTAATGATAGCTACATATAAGACCCACAGACTTTCTAAAATGGAAGGCCTGGGGAAAAAGGAGTTAAGATCTAAATGGGAATAACTCCTTATCAACTTAGTATGTTGTATAAATCCAGCCTTGATGATTTGTAAAGCATACTGTATAATTTAATGACAGAACCTTGCAAGTTTCAGTCATCAAGCCATGATTAAATAAGCTGTGACTTAGCTTGCTGTATATGTATTTGTATATGTATTTTGATGTTATTGAAAAATGTAATAGCCACAGGTAAGAGAAAAGTAAAGAAAGCACATTTAATGAACTGTAGCTATTGTGGAAAGGGAACTTCACAAAGATAGTAGTGTCACTCAAACAGGAAAAGTCCAAGGGGAACATCAGGCCAGCCATAAAACAAACTTACATAGGAAAAGGAATCAAATAAAAGGTATTAAAGAATCCCTATAGACAAAAGCCTAAGTAATTAAAAAAACTAAACAAATAAGAAAAGGAAACCCTTACAAACACAGGACATACCAAATAAGCAAAACAAACAGACAAAAGACATAAAAAATATAAATTACAAAAGAGACAGACAGGAGATTGCCACAAAACAAATATGAAAAAAACCATTATAAAGCTAAAAGAGATTAGGAAAAAATGATAATACAATCTAACCACCCTGTGGAGTTTGCCTTCCGCACCCTGCGGAGTTTGCCCTCCCGCGGGAATAAAGACAAACTCAAACAGGATTTGAAACATTAAGCACAAATACAAACATTCACAAGAAATCAACTCACAAAGGGAGAAAAGGGTATAAAAACCAGGGACTTACCATAAGAAGCCAGCTAGCCCAGGAACGCAGACTTCTCACTGTCCACCACCTTCCTGAAAAATAAAAAGATCCAGCTTTCAAGCAGTTGTCCGTATCCTTGCGCCGGAGCTCTCCCAGAGGGAAAATTGAATCCTCGGAAGAAAGGCATTTTGACACCTTTCTACAGTTGGCGACCATGAAGGTTTTCCAGCCAACCCTGCCACCGGACCGGGCACGTGGATCCAAACCCAGCCGCATGGACCTTCTTTGTCCAGGGACAACATCCACGGACCCAGCCCGGAAGGTATAGGGTAGTAAAGGGAGTCCTTGGGCTTTTCTGCTCAACAGCTGCTTGAAAGCAGGTGAGTACCGCTTCAAATTTATAATCTTACTAGGGAGGAGAATGGAAGCGTGAGTGTACCAGGTGTTTGATTGTGGGTTTTCTCTGCGGAAACAGTGGGACCTCACCTCCTCCGTGATTGCCAGCCGCACTCCAGCCAGCTGCTAGCTCAAACATGAGCCATGACTGGCTGGATTTGGGGCGATCACGGAGTGTGAGTCCTTCTGAAGGACGTAAGAAAAACTGAGCGGGCTGCAAAAGGAACTGGTGTTAGGAAATAAATAAAAAGCAGAGGAAAAATAGTCCCGGTGCATCCCTCAAGCAAAGCCCTGTGCATTTAGAAGGGGCCTGTACCAGCTGCTGGCAAACAAAATTGGAAATAGTTTGTCTAAAAAGCAGTAAAGGCCCTTCCAGATCCCCACCTTTAAGGGAGATCTGAAAACTGATGGCTGAGTGTAGGGAGGGGCCTGTACCGGAGCTGCTAGGGGGCAGACGGTCCTCCGAGATCCCCATTTTTTAGGGGTGGGTCTTAAAACTGACAGCTGAGTTTCCCTAAAAGAAAGGGGCCCGTACTCCATTTGTAGGGAAACCGGAGTCCTTTCTAGACCTTTTTTGTCTGAAAACTGATGGCTGTAGCCCGGCTAAACCAAAGTAATCCCCACATCAGGTAGGGAATATGGGAAGTTATAGCTCGAGGGCAATGGAAGAGACCCCCTTGGATAAATTACTTGAGGCTTGGGACGAAAGCCAAGTGCCTGTCCTGACTGGAATGCATAAAAAAGAAGCAGAAGGAATTTGCAAAAAGTGGGCTTTATTGCGAGATGACACGGGTAGACAAATTTAGCCTGATAGCGGTACTTTAGATTATAAAACCCTGAAAGCACTTAGAACACGCATTAAACCCAGCCAAATACCCTATTGGTACTGCTGGGCTGAAATGGCTAGGACCAAAGACCTGACCGAGGGAAAAGATCAGGAAAAACCTGAAACCCATTCCCTGGAAGGAAAGACTGAGGCACAGATTATGGCTCCCCTTTTAAGAAAACCAGTGCCAGGCAGAAATAGGGGACAATTAGAATACTTTTTTACCCACACTCCCTTCTCTGCCTCTGACTTGGTCATCTGGAAAAAGGATACCCCAGCTTTCAGGGCTGATCCTCAAACAGTAATTCAAACCCTGAAATCTATCATAGACAGCCATAATCCATCCTGGGGTGATATGACCCAGCTGCTACAAGTCTTTCTAACTAAAGATGAACTATTAAAACTATTTGAAAAAACAGACCAAATAGCTAAACTACCAACTATCCCTGGACAGGCAGCCCCAGCCTGCATCACATGGCCAGTACATCGCCCTGACTGGGACTACAATGATACCAATCACTGGGATGAATACACAAGAGCAAAAAATAACTTACTAGAAGCTTTAGAGGAAATAGGTAAAAAGCCTTTAAACTGGTCCGAATTCCAAAAAACAACACAAAGAGAAAAGGAAAACTCTGATGCCTTTTGGGTCCACCTGTCAGAAGCAGCTATTGCACGTGCCCATCTAGACCTTAGCTGCCTGAAGGACCAAAGGATTTTAGCTTCAGCCTTTGTGGACCACTCCACCATGGATATCAAATAGCTTTTCCACTGCTTCGTCTCTAACTGGCCAACCTTAGAAATAGCAGAGTTGCGCAGGATCGCTAACTTTGTCTATGATCAAAGAGACAAACTGAAAGAGGAAGAGAAAAATAGGAAAAGGAGGATAGAAAGACAGGAGGACTTAAAAATGTTTGCTGTAATGCAACATGACGCCAGACAAACACCAGGTAAAACCCCCTATAATTCAAGGAAATGCTGGCATTGTGATAAAGCAGGCTGGTCGCAAGGCAAATGCCAGCATTGCTATAGGTGCAGACAGGAAGGGCATTTCAGCAGGCAATGTAGGCAACACCTTTCCCGCAACCGGTATCACCCATCACCTAGAAACATGAAACCAGGCAATAATCCAATCAATTACACCGAACAACAAAGCTTTAATCATCATGCACCACCCAGCGCTCCTTTTCCTCAGATAAATCATAACAATGGACCTTAATGGGAGCAAAGAAGGGAAAATGACCTGCCCCTTTCCTGACTAGAACATGAGAATGAAAACACTAAATTCATGGCTACCTTTAACGGGCTGGCTATTCCCCTAAAAAACAGCCCTGAAGGGGAACCCATTGTCACCATTCTTATAGGAGGAAAAAAATACAATTGCTTAGTTGATACTGGAGCCACCTCCTCATTACTGAACCACCATATAAAGCTTCAGTGGCTGAAGGCGCTTGGGATAGCATAATGGGAATGAGGGAGAAAATAATCTGTGTAGAATTTACCCACAACGTAACAGTAGAACTAGGACCTTTCACAGTAGACCATTCATTCACTATTTGCCCCCAGTTGCCACTATCCCTACTAGGAAGGGATCTCCTATGTAAAATGGGGGCTACCATAACATGTGGCAAACAGGGGCTGCAATTGGAGATCCCAGGAAAAGGCACACATAAGACAATCATGCTGATAACCAGCAACACAGGGCTTCATGAAGATTTAAAAAGCCTGCCACCCTCCTTATGGGGCTGGGATGCATCAGAAGTGGGACTACTTACCTGTTACTAACCAAGTGAAACATGGACCACCTCCATGCGTGCCCCAATATAAAATCCCTGCAGAGGTAATTCACCCCATAAAGAAATCAATACAAGCATATCTAAAGCAAGGAGTTCTCATTAAATGTACCTCTCCCTGCAACACCCCCATTTTTCCTGTGAAGAAATCTACAGTAGACAAAAGATGGAAACCCCATCTTTAGCTTTGTGCATGATTTAAGGCTCATAAATAACCACGTGATACCAAGAGCCCCCATAGTGCCTAACCCATCAACTATAATCACCAAGGTGCCAGCCTCGGCCACCTATTTTTCTGTCATAGATTTGTGCTCTGCTTTTTTTAGCATTCTGGTGGACCCAGCATCCCAATATCTGTTTGCCTTTACTTGGCAAGACCAACAATATACCTGGACTCGATTGCCACAAGGCTACACTGAGTCTCCTACCCTATTCTCACAAATATTAAAGGCAGACCTTT